GGTATGCTTAGAACTGGATCCCATGGCCACCCACAAGGAGGGTAAACATCTTTCTCCAGGTTGCATGCCATCCTGAGCAATAGTTGGGTTTGTGTGGTAATCAACAGGTACATCTCAATTTTGCCCAAACTGCCCTGTGCTGAGTCAGACAAGATCAAAACATGTCAACACATCTATCTCTGCCCCTGGTCCACACACCTACCTTTTGATCTCCTGCCCATCCTTGAGCCAAAACCTGACCCAGGATTCTTCCAGGTTCTGCCAACAGGAGGAAGAAGAAGGGGAGGGGGCAGTTTGGAAAGGTTGTGTCAAGCACACTGCTCCTCCTGAATTTTCGCCATAGCTTTGGGAGCTGTTAGATCAGCATACTGCCTTTAAAGTCGTTGAAGGAACTAGAAACTCCCAAATGCCCATTTATGGTAAAAATGGGTCAGTAAATCGGAGTACCTACACAGAAAAATATACAGTGCTGTAATGAGAAGGGGACATTTACAACTACAGACAAAATCTGAATGAAGCACACAAATACAATACAGAGCAAAACGAGTCAAACACAAGGTGATTGTGTGATTTTATTTATATGCATTTATCATGTTTCCATAAATCTATATAAATCCATTTACATTTATTCATACAAAGTTAATAAATGAGCAAAACCAAAGAATGATAATAAAAGTCTGGGAAGTCACTACACTTGGCGGGGGGCAGTGACTGCAGGGGGACCCCCTAGAAGATCTTCTGGGGAGCTTGTCAGATCGTGTGGCCCCATCTGGATGCTGGTTACAAGAGTGTCTTTATCGAGTTTGTAATATTTATGATAAGGGCACATTTCTGTGTGTACATTATACTTCACTGAAAAGTTCATTTTAAATATTTCTAAGAGGATACCTACCCACAGACACCCTTGGCTATTTACCCACCATCCATTTTTCTCTTCTTCTTGAATCTTCCTTTTACTCAGGGAGCAGCCCCTTTCCTCAAGCCTACACTACTCAGGAGACTTTCTGAGCTGTCTCAGAAAATAAACCTGACTGGTACAAATCAACCATGTCAATCCATTTCCCCTGGCCTGTAATTAGTTTAGGAAAGAACATGTGACCCAATTCTGACCAATAAGAATGAAGGGAATTCTGCTGGGGCCGTTTCTGGGAAAGTGTCATCCTTCTCTAGAACACGCTCACTACAGTCGCTGATCTTGAGGATGATGAACCCACATGAAGGAGAACCAAGAGAAGCAGAGGGAAGTGGAACTGGAGACATGACATTCTCTTGCCTAGAGTTGTCCTTACCTGCATTTCTTAGCATACAAGGTCAAAACCCATTTAAGACAGTATGAATTTTCTCTTGTTGCCAAAAACAGATTGACTAACAGCATCATTTTGGAGAATGTACTCAAGATTGTCCCTCAGATAGCATTCTGTTCTATCCTAGATTTTTTGTAGTCAAGACTTTTAATATTCTAACTTTTAATTATTTAATATTCTAACTTTGAACTATCTGTGTCACCTGACATTACGTCAGTACTATTTGCCCCGCCACCCATCTTGTGCTTGCTTACAGAGAGCAGTTGAAGCTGGGCTAAGTGCACATCGGTCACTGCACACTGGATATTAATCTTAGATTTATCATAGACCACCAAGAAGAAGACATGAATCTTTGGCAAAGTCAATGGCCCCAACCCTAGCATCCCAACCCTTGTAGAATGTCCCCCCAAATTGTTGCAAGGAGTTGAGCTCAAGAGAGATAATTATGATGAGTATCATTATATCAATAATTAGTATCTTCTTCCTTCACACCATTGACTGTCTACCCAAAGGCCAGTTCTCACCCTCTCCTCTTTCTGGACAAAGACAATAGACACAATAGAGACTGAAAATGCCAGAAAACAATTTTTCCAGTTTCTCTTGCAGCAGTGGGCATCTCTCTTCCATTGAGACCCAAAGAGAAGTCTGCAGAAGCAGGTGTGTGTGTGTGTGTGTGTGTGTGTGTGTGTGTGAGAGAGAGAGAGAGAGAGAGAGAAAGAGAGAAAGAGGGAGAGATGGGGAAGTTAGAGAGGGACTCTGGAGAAGGACTTTCTTTCCTTATGAAGACAGCTCTGCTAGGAGAAGCTCTCCTTCCTGCCTTTTGTCACGGTTGTGACAGACTTGATGGCTGGAACGGTGGCAGCCATTTTTATACTCAAGAGGTTACAAGCCTGAAGAAAAAAATAAGACATATTTTCTTCCCCTTTCTAAAATGTAAGCTGAAGGAAGGCAGAGATTTTTTTAAAATCTGTTTTGTTAATTACTCTATCCCAAGTGACTAGAATATTACCTAACTTAGTATATTATCAAGTGCATGAAAGAATGCAGAGAATATTACAGAAGAAAGATAGAGCTTGGACTCCTAGTGACGTCATGACATTTAAAACATCACATTGACCATGTAACTGTCCTTGCTTTGAGTTTCTTGTTATATGAAATACTAAAGGTCCTTACTATGTAAGTCAATTTTAATTTGGTGTTCTGTTACTGATGAAATTCCCTAATGTAATTCCTTTCCTAGAATGTTCCATTTCGGGGGCACCTGGCTGGCTCAGTCAGTAAAGCCATGTGACTCTTGATCTCAAAGTTGTTACTTCAAACACCACGTTGCTCCTAGAGCTTACCTAAAAAGAAAATGTTCTATTTCCAAGATATTCCCTGGAGTGACTTTTCTGTGTCCACTCCTGACCACCAGGAGTAGGTATCTCTGGGGCTGAGTCCACGTGTGAAGATCTTTACATTGCAATCCTCTCATTTTATGGATGGAAAAACTGAGGTCCAGAAAGAGGACGACTGGTTAAGAGGTCACTCAGTCCTGTTTCATTGACTCCCGTCCCCACAGCCTTATTAGGGGCACTGCCAGCCCACTGCAGCTGGTGAAAGGCGGGTGAGAGGGATTCAGAGTGTACAATGTAGCCCCGCCCTCCTTGGCCAGAGCTGATTGGACCCAGAGTCAACACCTGACCCGCAGGCAGCCAATCAGGACTGAAGAAATGCCAGTAATTGGAGCTAATTGTGGGTGGCGCTATTGTAGGCCATATGCCCCCCAAATCTGAGGAGGAAATAGAGGATGCCCCTTGGAGAAAATGAGAAGAGGGAGATGTGAAAGAAAGAACACTGCAGGAAAGCGAGCAAGAGAGATCCCACAGGCAGCTAGCTGCTTCTGGGCTGACATCTGCCTGGCCCAAATCTTGGATATTCTTTTGATAACCACCTCCCTTTTCTCCTCTGGCCAAAAAGCAGCTCTGCTGTGTCCTCCACAAGCAGGCAAATGATCTTCTTACACAGAAATTCCCAGTCTTTTAGGGAAAACCAAGAGTTTCGAGGTACATTGGTCTTCTTTCCATTCCTGGGAAATGCCCAGCTGGTCCCCATATCAGAGCCTTTGCCTTGTCCTTCTGTCCGGAACACTGAGACCCCAGAAATTCACTGGGCAGGCCACTTGTCATTCTGTAGGACTCAGCTCAAAGTTCACCTCCTCCCAGAGGCCCTTGATGTTAGTTTCTGCTGAAACAGATTATCACACTTGGTGTCTTAAAATAACATTAATTTACTCTCTTATTGTTCTGGAGAACGGAAGTTCCAAGTGTTGCCACACTGGGCTAAAATAAAGACATAAACAGGCAGGGGTGAATTATTCTGGAGGCTAGGAGGGAGAATCCATTCTTGTGCCTTTTCTAGCTCCTGGAGACCACCTACATTCCTGGGTTCATGGCCCCTTCCTTCATCTTCAGAACAAGCTTAGCAGCATCTTCCAATCTCAATCTCATTCCCACTACCCACCCCCCAACTCTTTCTTTTTCTTTTTTTAAAGATTTTATTCATTTATTTGAGGGAGAGGGTAGGGATAACAACAGATAGCACAGCAGGAAGGAGAGGGAGAAGGAAACTCCCCATTGAGCAGGGAGCGCAATGCCGGGCTCAATCCCAGGACTCTGGAATCATGACCTGAGCCAAAGGCAGATGCTTAACCAACTGAGCCACCCAAGTGCCCTCCACCCCAACTCCTTCTTATAAGGACCCTTGGGGTTATAATGGTTTCACCCAGAAAATCCAGGATCATCTCTCCATCTCAGTATCCTTAATCACACCTGTGAAGTCTTATTGCTGTATAAAGCCACATATTCTCAGGTTCCAGGGATTAGGCTGTGGACATCTTGGGGGCACAGGTGAGGTGTCATACTGCCCTCCCACACCCTTCTTGACCATGCTATATAAATAGGCCTGTCCCCCCCCCCCCCCCCCCCCCACCGCAACAGTCCTCTTTCCTCCTGCTCTGTGCTCATTTTATACATATTGTATGTAATGTATTCATCCACCTCTTTACTGTCTGCCTTCCCCAAGAGAACAGGAGCTCTGTGAGGCAGGAAATTGTTCTGTTTTGCCTGTTGTAGTGTCTCACATCTGGAAACTTCCTGGCACAAAATAATCAATATTTGTGAAGAAAATGGGGCGCCTGGGTGGCTCAGTGGGTTAAGACCTCTGCCTTCAGCTCAGGTCACGATCCCAGGGTCCTGGGATCGAGCCCTGCATTGGGCTCTCCGCTCAGTGGGGACCCTGCTTCCTCCCTCCCCCGCCTGCCTTTTTGTCTACTTGTGATCTCTGTCTGTCAAATAAATAAATCAAATCTTTAAAAAAAAATTTGTGAAGAAAATGCAAAGCAGCTTGAGTGGATCTCTGTTTCTTGCAGGTGAAATACCCCCAAAGAGCAAACACAGTTTTGCAGAGGGAAGAAGTGACTTGTTCCTCGCTGCCTGGTCATTCAGTGAGTGGGGGACACCACATACAGAGCTCACTTCTCCTCAGATGCTTTATTTCTGGGACGAAATTTGGGTCATAGCTCCCGAACAAGGATAGCCTCTGGGCCTGAAGAAGGAAGCATGGGGGAGACTGAGGTGCAGCCCTCACCTTGGTCTTTCTGGGAAACTCTCTCTAGGACCTGACTGAAAAGACAGGGTCAGCCCAGGACTGGGGAAGGTGGACCCTGATTCCAGGAGACTTGGGGAGGGGCTGGAGAGATTAACAACCCCAACATCCTCAGGAAGGAACAGGGGTATGGAGGGAGTGTCATGGTCCCTGCAGGAGTGATGACAGCAGTGGGTGGGGCACACCAGAATGCTGGCTCCTGGGATGCCTCATGAGTTCGACTGAATGGTGTCCTTGATCCACTTAGTGAATTGGCAGAGGTTGGTGTAGACGCCGGGTCTGTTTGGTTGGGCACAGGGAAAGTCTCCCCAGGACACGAGGCCCTGTAGGGAGTCATTGCAGACCACAGGTCCCCCAGAATCACCCTGTGGAGGAGAAAGGAGTTCAGAGAGGCGGAGTTGTGGGGAGGTGGAAGGAGGGAGACACACAGGTGAAGAAGGGCCAGGGTGGCAAGAGATAGAGACATAGAGATGGAAAAAGTAGAGAGATGAAGAGACACAAAGACAGAGAGGGAGAAACAGGTAAGACAGAGAAAGAGAGAGTGAGAGAGAGAGGAAATGTTAACATTTCCATGTAAGTCTCACCTTAGGAAGTTCCGTTTGCCCTCTCCACCCAATGCCACTTCTTCTGTGTGTCTCCCTCACTGCATCTCCCTGTCCCTATTTGTCTTTCTCTAGTCCAATCTTTGAACACTGCATTTCTCCTACTGAGCACACATGACCTACACCTCCCCTTTGCAGAGAGGCAGCTCTTGGCCCCTGAAAGATGGGGCTTTCTCATCCTGGGCACCACTGACATGAGGCCAGATCATTCTTTGCCGTGGTGGCCGTCGTACACATCAGAAGATGTTCAGCAACATCCTTGACCCCTATGCATTACATGCCAGTCACTGCCTTCCTCCTCCAGGCACAGCTGTGATAACCAAAACTATCACCAGGCATTTTCATATCTCCCCTGGGGGGCGGGAGGCAAGTTGAGGATTGCTTCTTTGGGTTGCCCATCAATAGGTCCCCAAACACCTGCAGCTACTCTCCTATAATAATACTCACCACTCTTTACTGTCATTTATTATGTATGTTTATGCAAGATACTAGTATCAGTTATAAAGAAATCCAGAGCCTGACTTCTTTCCCTGTTAGCAGACACTACTTCAAGGCTAAAGAGCCTGACTGCCTGCACCTCTGAATTTCAGCTTTCTTGGAGTTTAATTTTTCTCATTATATTTTGTTTAATATCCCTGCAGAGTTTCCTTTGAGAGGCAGTTCATTAACTGCCCTGAGCTTGGCTCCTCGTCGGCAAGATAGAGCTAATAATAATGGTGAGTCAATGAGCTGATGTATGTGAACCACATAAAGCAGGGTCCCGTGTTATTATTATTATAGTATTAGTGTTTTAATTACTTTTTGCTCTGAGTGGCCAAACCCTGGCCACATGCTGGTATGAAAAGCTAACTGGGGTCTGCAAACTGAAAAACAAGATGCAAAGCTTGGCCTCAGGAAAGTGAAATGGTTTTAAATGCTGACATTTGAGGGGCACCGCCTGGCTCAGTCGGTGGACCGCCTGCCTCTCAATCTTGAGGTCGAGTTCAAGCCCCACGTGGAGGGTTGAGATCACTTAACATAAAAATCTTTTTAAAAAGTGCTGACATTTGAATTAGGTGTGCTTTCTTCTGACAAAAATCCCTCCGCCGACTCCTCTGTCCAGATGTGTGTGTTTCCATATTGAGTGGGGACAGAAATGACGTTGAGAAGTTGCTGTAATCCTCAGGTTTGTAAAATTTGGGGGGAGGGGCCCTTTCCCAGCCATCAGAGTAGGACAGGAGTGCTGTCTGAGGCCATAGCTTACTTACTAACTGCCAATATTACTGAAGTGTTTGTCCTGCCAAATCCTTCTAGAATTCTACCTTCAGGACCTGAATACAGGGGACGGTCCTGATCCCTGCAAGAGTTTAATTTTAATTTCTGTCATCCTCAATGGATAGAGCTTCCATGCGGATATAGAGAAGCTCTGTCTTGGGGGTCAAGGAATATTTGTTGAACATGGACCCCGCCCATCTCCCCAGGCTCAACTCTAGCTGCGTCCACTCCACCCACCCAGTCTCCCAAACACTCTGGCTTTTTCTGTTCTTTGAGTCACCGAACTCCTCCCTGCTGCAGGGCCTTTGCAAGTGTTTTCTTTCCTTTAACCTTTGCAAGGCTGGCTCCTTGGTGTCATTCAGTCTCTACCCACCTCTTGGAGGAGGCCCTTCCAACCACCTTTTTGAATATTGTCCCTCATCACTCCTTACCATAAAACGATGTTTTATTTTCTGCATAGTTTTTATCATGCTCTGAAATTACCTAATTTATGCATTTTCTTGACCATTGGGGTTTTTAAAATAATTTTAGTTTGTATTTCATTTTAAATAATCTCTATACCCAGCGTGGGGCTTGAGTTTACAACCTTGGGATCATGAATCACACGTTCTTCTAACTGAGCCACCCAGACATCCCTCTTTTTCACTTTTTAAAATGTAGCTACTAGGGACGCCTGGGTGGCTCAGTTGGTTAAGCATCTGCCTTCCACTCAAGTCATGATCCCAGCCAGCGTCCTGGGATTGAGCCCTGCATAGGGCTCCCTGCTCAGCAGGGAGTCTGATTCTCCTTCTTCCCCTCTTTCTCTCTCCCCCGAGAGAGAGCAAGCGCTCTCTCTCGTAAATAAATAAAATCTTTAAAATAATCAAATAAAATGTAGCACCTAGAAAATTTTAAATGACATGTATGACTCACATTATATTTCTACTGGACAGGGCTGTGTTCCCAGCACTTAGCAAGGTTTCAAGTTACACAGCTGGCACTCAGGGTGTATATCTGCTGCATGAATGCCTGCATCTTGAACCTTACCTGGCAGGAGTCTCTTCCCGCCTCATCGCCAGCGCAGAACATAGTGGAATCTATCTGTCCTGGATAAGCCTTCCTGCACCTGTCGGCACTTAGCACAGTGATGTTCAAGCACTGGAGGACCTTCGGGAATTTAACTGTCAGAAACACAAAGAGCAAGGCCACTGTGAGCAACGGAGAAAGATGGGGAGGGGCAGTGCTCAGAGGCAGAGAGGGGGAGAAGGCAGACAAGGGTGTACATCACGAGGGACCTGGACGCTCACCGTGGGGGCTGCTGGTTGTTCCCCAGCCAGAAACCAAGCAGCTGGTCCCAGCAGTGGGACAGTGAGGGGAGATGTTGATGGGTTTAACAGCCTGAGTCTCACGAATTTTTCTGTTCAGTTTGATGAGCATGAGGTCATTGGAGTGGCCGGGATGGGAATAGCCAGGATGGGGGATGGACTTGATCCCTTTGAACAGCTGCTGTCCAGCTTCATAAACGGGTGACAGGGAATGGTGGCCGAGGCGGATTCTGTAAAACCTAAAGAAGGTAGTGCAGATTATTAGCAACCCCGATTCCTATGCCCATACTCAGTGCCGAGTATACCCTAATCCAGTCCCAACCTTGACTTCACCCCATCCCATCCCATCCCCACCCCGAATCCTTTCTCCACATAGAAACCACCACATCTGCATTCCCAACCTTGATCTAACCACCCCAACCTCAAATCCAACCCCCTCTAACCTCCCATAACTCTAATCTCAACCCCATCCTCAATCCTACATCCATTCCTGCCCTCAGCCCTAACCCATCCCCATGTATCTCCACCCATCTCCAATTCTCCAAATGGTATCTCCATTCCAGACTGTCAGCAGACACATGCCCTTCTCCAGACCCAACCCATTCCCATCCCCGATCCTAGACCTAATTCTTCACCCACCCTCAAACCATCAATACATGCATTCCCAGCTCCAAATCTAGCCATCTCCAGTGCCATTCATAAAGCTAACCCCAAACCCATCTTCAACCCCAGAGCTATTTCCAATCCCAACACCATTTTCATCTCCACCCTACCCCATCCCAGACTCTAAAGCCACTCTGAATCTCATCTCCATTCCAAACCACTCAACATATGCACTCCTCACGCCCAAATCCACCGCATCTCTAACTCCCACCCTCTACCACAATTCTCTCCCCAGCCTAACCCCATTCGCCACCCCAACTCCATCCTTGATCCCATCTCAGCTGTACCCCTCTCTCACCCGCACCCGACACTCACCTCCTTGGCCCTCCCCCGCCCCTGCCCTGTCCAGCCCTGCTCCTGGAGCCCCACTCACGGCTTCCGGCAGTGGGCCGCTGTGAGCAGCCACTGCGGATTCACCAGCACGGCCCCACAATAGAGCTGGTTGGGCTGCAGCAACAGCGCACCCTGCCACGGCTGGGCGTGCATCTCGCAGTCGGACCCATTCACGATGCGGCTGCTGCTGCCTTCCTTTGCCCTGGTGTCCTCCTGGGCCCCAGCTCCAATGTCCCGGGTGCTTCCAGAGGGCCCAGTGTCAGAGGGGTTGTCGCAGGAGGTAGCATCATTTGCAAGAACAGGTTCTGGGGGCAGAAAACGGGCGGGGCTTGGGATCAGGGAGGAGGGCGGAGCTTGGGCTCAGCGGCTGGGTCTTAAATCCAAGAGGTGGGACCAGCCAGAGCTCGTCTTACCCCCTGGAAGACTCTTATATTGAGGAGGGGGTCAGCCCAGGACTTTAGGGGCGGGGTCTGGAATCTAAGGTTGAAACCTATAAAGAAGGGCAAGGCTTAGAACTCAAGGACAGGGCAACTGGGTGGCTCGGTGGGTTAAAGCCTCTGCCTTCGGCTCAGGTCGTGATCCCAGGGTCCTGGGATCAAGCCCCACATCAGGCTCTCTGCTCAGCGGGGAGTCTGCTTCCTCCTCTGTCTCTGCCTGCCTCTCTGCCTACTTGTGATCTCTGACTGTCAAATAAAATCTTAAAAAAAGAAAGAAAGAAAGAAAGAAAGAAAGAAAGAAAGAAAGAAAGAAAGAAAGAAAGAAAGAACTCAAGGACAGAGTCCAGGATGAGATGGTTTACTGGACTTTAACTGTACCTCAAGGTTCCTGGGAGTGGCTAGAGCTCAGTGGGCGGGGCCAAGAAGGTAAAGTTGGACAATCCCAGAGGCGGAGCCAAGGTTCAGGGGGTGGAGCCTGAGAATGGACCGGTGACCAGGGCTTTCGTGGTGGGACCTTGGTTCAAGAAATGTGGTCAGTCCTCAGAGAATGAGGTCAGGGCTGGAAGGGGCAGTTTGAGAGGCCAGGGTCATGTGGAGAGATGGAGTCTAGAAAGATCCCTGACTTCGGGCAAGGAGGTAGGGGCTGAGTTTTAGGAGCTGCAGACAGGATCGGAAGGGGCCGTGGCCCCAAACCTGAAGAGCCATCTAGGTGGGGCCTGGCTTGCAGGGTGGGGAGTGCATGCCCAAGGGGATCCTCTCTGTGGATAAAGTCTGGACTAACAGTGTGGTGGACGAAAGGGGGTCAGAGTCAGAGCCCCTGGGTGGAGGGAGAGTTGGGAGAACAGAACCAGGGAAGCGCTCATCTAGAGGTGCCTGGTGGCAACAGAAAGTAGGACTGATTTTGAATTCTCCAACAAGGACTTGCCTCCTGAATCCTCCATCTCCAGTCCCCCACAGTCTGTCCACTCCCTCATACTCTTGCTGATGACCCACAGACGCCGAGCCCTGGCGCGCACATCCAGGAAACACGCACCCAACTGTTGTCACAGATAAGCACGCACACAGTTGCATGAGAGATGCACATCGTCTCCACCAGGGTAGCTACAGGCACTGTTGGGTTTCATGGTGCACACATTTCCCAAGGAACAGCACTGGGCGGCAGCCTCCCAACGTCTCGTGCACCCATGCAGTGTCTCAGGCACGTGTATGCATCCCTGTAGAGACCAGCACAGACTCTCCTGCACACAGACACGTTGGCATGGTGACAACACTACACTCCGAAAGCCCAGCAGTAAGTGACCTGGTATCATCCATCCTCACACAGCCACCATCTCGAAGCGACAGACACTTCAGCCCATGCAATCCCTTAGAGGAGGGATGGAAACTCCACCCACGCAGCCGCCCCATCGCACAAACAGTCCCCTATAAACACGCAGTCCCCATCACCTGGACACAGAACCTCAAGCGGTCTCACAGCCCAAGTCGAGCCACACATAATCCCGCACTCACCCACAATCCCACAACCCCAAACCGTTACCTGCACCCACCTGGCCATGCATTTTCACCGTAAAAAGCACTTTTGTGACACACAATCTGGTCACATAGGGACAAGGACTCCAGATACCTTCAGCCACACAGAGCCACACACATAATGTGCGTACAATTACCTGCACAGACATTGATCCACACATGATCCTAAATGCACACACACCCAGTCACACAACCAGACACACAGCCTCCAAGCTAGTGCACCTGTTGCAGGCAGTCACTTGATATGGGGAAAGGCACCCCCCCCACACACACACACAGTGACAGGCACACAGCCACACACAATCACCTGAACATGAATAAGGACACCAACTCACAGTCACCCAGTCCTAGAGCCATACCCCATCACATAGAGTCTCCTTGGGACTAACACTCCAATGTCCCTCAGAGAGTCACCCATAGCCCACCCAGTTAGTCTACAGGCACACAACAGGGCTTCTGGTTACCTGTCACCCCCATCATCAGGGCTGTGATCAGGGCACCGGCCATCCACATCCAAGAGTGTCCTGCTGGAGCCATGGCCACTGCACCTTGTGGGGAGGACAGAGGGCAGGGAGGCCAGGATGATTCTGGGAGGCCCTTACCCCACCCCCTTTCCTTCCCTGCCCCACTTCCTAGGGCAGAAAGGAACCACAAGGGGATTGCCCCCCAACCCAGAGACTATAGACTTCAGAGGAGAAGACATCCAGCCCCCTCCAGTCATGCAATTAGGGAGAATAAAGAGAGAGTAGGGGTGCATCCAAGACGCAGACACCTGTCCCTGTGGTCTTCCCCAGGCCTCACCTGCCGAGTCCCCCAGGTAGGGGGTGGGGAACCGGCTCCCAGCTCAGCCACAGACTTCTCAGGTCTGTGCCGTCCTGCAACCACCTCCTCCTCAGTTCTGGGCACTCAGCCTGAGTTATAACCACCCACTGATCCCCGGGGCACATTCCCAGGGAGTGAGGCGCCCTGCCAGGCCTCAACAATCACTCCTCCTGCTTCCCCCCCACCTCCGCCCCCAGAGCACCCCCCACCCAGTCCTGAAGGCCACTCCCTACTTCCCTGGCAGAGAGGGGGGCGGGGTGGGGCAGGAGTTGGGAAGGGGTCTGTGCAGGGCTGGCCTACCCAGCCCTGAATCCCCTTCCCCTCAGCGTTGAGCTCATGCTTCTCACCAGCTCTGGGCGGTCTTCTTGATACCTGGATTTTTCTTTATTTTCTGTGTTCTTCACTCATTCTGTATCTCTCTGTCCCACTTTATCAAATTCCCATCTTTGTCTGTTTTTTCAAACTCTTACAGCCTTCTTTCTCTGTGTTTGCTTCCCTCAGAATCTTTCTAAGTCTGTCTCAACATGAGACGTGCCCACCAAGTATCTTGCTTTGGGTCTCTCTCCCCACCTTTGTCTTCTCACTCTCCCTGCGTCTCAACGCCTGTCTCTCTGCCCCTCCCTCTCTGTTTTTCTGTGTCTCTAACCCTTGCCCTTTATCTGTGTTTCCTGATTCTCTTTCTTTTTAATGGTTCTGAATGGTGCATATCTCAAATATACCTTAGGATTCTGGTTTTATTTTCCTTCTGCTCTGCCCATTTTTTTTTTTTTTTTTACAGCTTTGAGGTGGAATCGGGGTATAATAAACTGTGCACATTTAATGTGTAGGATCTGATCAGTTCTGACACACATCACACTGATAGGAAGCATATCCATCACTCCCTTTATGTGTCTGTGATTCTTGATCTCTGTCTCTGTGCCTCAGAGGCTCTCTTGTATCTTTCTTCCTCTGTTACCTCTCTTTCCCCTGTGACTCTGTCCTTCCCAGTCTCCCTCTGTTTCTGTCTCTGCATCTGTACCATTCTGTCCCTCTGTCCCTCCCCCCAACCTCCATCACAGGCTCCAAGTATCTGCATCTCTGCATCATTGTGTCTCTCTGTCTCCCTTGTCTTGCATTGCGGGTAGAGGAGATTCAGGCCACTTTGCCAAAGGGATCCCCTCATCCTCCCTCCTGCCCTTCACCCTGGGGCTGGGGCCACAGGGCATAAAAGGGTAGGGATCCAGTCTGGGGGCCCCCCTGCCAAGGACTTGGCTGGGCTGATGCAGTCAGGCGTGGGTGAGAGGGTTGGGCAGGCCACCTGTTGATGGGGAAAGAGGCCAAGAGGCCAGGATAGGGGGTGGGTGGCTCCTGGCCCTTTGGGAAATGGGGCACTGGGTGGGGATCCCAAAATGTGGCTTCTGTCTCACCAGCCCCGGGCCATCTGGAGCTGCCTCTCCCAACCTCTTCTCCATTTGAGTTCTTTCTGTCTGGTTCCAACTCTCTGAATTCATCTCTACCCATGTCTTCAAGTTTCTGACCCTCTAGGACATGGAGCCAAATACTCACTCAACCCCTATCTCCTGAGCAGCCCCTGTGTGCCAGACTGAGGTCCACCCATGAACAAAACGGACAAGGACTCCAGGCGATGCTGCAGTCCTCATAGAACTCACATTCCTTGAGGGCAGAACCAAGCTGAATTGCTTCCTTCTGTAACCTGGCACCTGACGAACCAGAGGTTTTGGAGCCCTTAGGCCGGTTTCAGGGTACAGGGGGAAAACAGCGTTCTGAGGCTTATTTTGATTATTTGCTTTTGTATTGCACACATGGAAGTGACAAATCCAGCAACCCACTTCTTCTGCAATCTTTCAAGGTTGGTTTACAACCCTTTTAATTCTAGATATGCCTCTTTACTCCAGATAGGTCTTTACCATAGTGTTTGGTCCCTTTTACAAACTAGATTAATTAAGTCTCTTCAAACATTTTCAAACTACATCTCTATTTTGAAAGGATTTTATTTATTTATTTGAGAGAGAGAGAGAGAGATTGCACAAGGAGGAGTAGGGGCAGAGGGAAAAGGAGATTCACTGCTAAGTAGGGAGCTCAACACGGGGCTCAACCTCAGGACCCTGGGAAAATGACCTGAGTCAAAGGCAGATGCTTAACCAACTGAGCCACCCAGGTGCCCCTGACAAATTCATTCTCTTCTGGAAGCCCTTCAGTTTTTGGAGAGACCTCCCAGAACATTTAGGTAAATTTATGCATCTAGACATGCTACATTTGTAAACATGATCAACACGATATTCTTTTAAGTACCTCAACACGGACTATAAATTTGGTATGATGTCAACTTAAAAACCTTCAGCATTTCAAGCTGAAGTCAGGAGATGGTCTCTGTAATGGGTAAAATTCTCTTAGACATACAAGCACCTTAACATGCAGACAGTCTGCTTTAAAAAAAAAAAGATTCGGGGCGCCTGGGTGGCTCAGTGGGTTTAAAAAAAAAAAGATTCAGGGCACCTGGGTGGCTCAGTCTTTAGGCGTCTGCCTTCGGCTCAGGTCTTGATCCCAGGGTCCTGGGATGGAGCCCCACATCGGGCTCTCTGCTCAGCAGGGAGCCTCCTTCCCTTCCTCTCTCTCTGCCTGCCTCCCTGCTTACTTTTGATCTCTGTCTGTCAAATGAATAAATAAATAATTCTTCAAAAAAAATAAAAAATTTTAAAAATAAAAAATCTGTAAAAAAAAGAAAAAGATTCATGTTAAGCCTTTAAACATGTCTATGCTCAACTTGAGAAGGTACCGGAATTGAAAGAAAGCTACCCTATAGCCAAGCAGTCAGGAACTGGGACTCTGGCACAAATCCCCTAACATTCAACCTCCAGCTTGGCCATCTGCTCTCTGTGAAACTTTGGGCAAACCATGGAGCCTCTCTGTGTCTTGGTTTCCCCATCCCTAACATCAGAACAATAACGGTACTTAGTTCATAGGTGTGCTATGAGATTAAATGAGTTAATAGATAAAACCCTTAGCACCTATGAGATTAAATGAGTTAATAGATAAAACCCTTAGACCAGTGCCTGTCATGTACTAAGTAAGTGTTACTCGTTGTATCCATTGAAGAAGGTAATTCTCTCTTAATGAATTGAAGTTGATTTTGCTCTGGACAATCATTGACTGGTTCCTCCTGGTGACTCTGGTGCATTTCATGGCCCTATTTACCATCCAAAATCTTTAGAAGGGATTGGTCAAGGCGGGCCATTCACATGACTGAGTATTTCCACATACACATAAAGATCAGCCATTCCCTCCCATCATGTGTCTTGATCAACTTTCACATCTAGCTGTTGCTCTGTTTAATGAAGTCCGATTTCATTCTAAGCTGTGCTGGGCAAAATAAGGTTGCAATAAATATCGAAACAAATGAATTGTTCTTTCTGATTCTCCCTCTGTTCCTGAATATTTCTCTGCTCTTAAATCCAGCCTCCATGTAGGGCCGTCTTTTCTCTCTCTCTCTCTCTCTTTCTTTCTGGGAGCTCCTAACTGTCCCACCTGCTTTGCTGGGAGGACCCCTGGCTTAGAGGTTATTTTGCCTTCCTCACAGAAGATGCAGGGGAGGTTGTAGAGAAGAAGGCTTCTCTGAGGACAAGGACAGCCCTGGGACTTGGGATAGAGGCATGTACATCAGTTAGGGATGCGTGGTGCACGTCTGTGGAAGCAGCCCAGAGAGCATGCAGAAGCCTAACCCTCATTTCTCTGGGGACATCCCATCTCCCCTCTTTCCTGCCCATTGCTGTCCCCCTCAAGTGGACTGCAGCAAGATCTTTCTAGTGTGCAGATCTGACCCTGTAGCTCTCTCTAGGCCACGTGTTTCTTCCTGGCACTCAAGGTCAACATGATCTTCCACTAACCTACGCTTCCAGCCACGCCACCCACTTCTCCCACCTCAAACTCCAGCTTCACCATTCTGGATGATTCACCATCTCTGGGGCACACCAGGTGTTCTCACACCCCCAGGACTTTCTACAGATTGTCCCTTCTATGACGATGAATGTCATCCACCCAACCCTCTCCATACAGTGACTTCCAATGCAGCCTCCTTCTCCAGACTGCCTAGCCCCAGCTCATCCCTCTTCTTTCCCTGCACCATCACTTTGACCTCCTCTCTGGCCTCCGGTCTCTCTCCTCTGGTCCATCCCCTACAAGGTCCCAGTGCTGCTCTTGTTCACAAGCCTTCCATGGCTCCCCACTGACCTCAGGAGAAAGTTTTATTCTCTCAATCTGGGGTCTGAGGTCCTTTGGGATCTGGCCCCAGCTCTGCTCTCCCACCTTCTCTCCCACCCCTTACCCACATACAGTGGTCTCCCAGCCCTCTTCTGTCACTTCTTTCACTGCTACAAAAGGAGTTTGGGGTAAAGAGCCACCAGGAAGTCTAGTCCAAGGTGGAGTACTCACAGATGTTTTCCTGGAGGGGAGGAGAAATGAATTTGGGCTATAAAAGGGAACAAAGAGCATCTAGACTTGAGAGAGGCTGAAGTGGGATAAAAGCAAAAAAGCACTGCTAAGAATAAAATCCACTCTTTATTGCTCAAGCAAGTGTGCCAGGCACCGTTATATGTGTTCCACGTTTCGGAAATCTTGAATCCTCCCCAAAACAACCACTGCCCTGTGAGGAATATACTCTTATTATCCTTACTTTACAGATGAGAAGATCTGCACAGTGAAGGGAGGACCTTCTCAAGGGTACGCAACTAACAGAGGGCAGAGCTGGGATTCAACTCAGGTTTTGCCTGACTCGTGACACCTCCTCTGTAGGAAGAAGTCAAACCCGTTGAATAACCAAGGAGGGAGAGATGCTTGGGAGGGGTATTCCTGTATTCTCCTACCGGCGGGGTAAGACCTTAGCCCACATCCTCACTTGTCCCCAGTGATGCAAGGATGGGGCTGGGGTAAAACCAGGGTGAATTTGTACTGTCACATCACTGCTTTTATTAAGCATTAAGGGTTGGGTCTAGGCAGGTGGGGGGAAGGCAAAGTCTTGGTCAAGGATATTCTGGAGCCAGCAAGTGGGGGCCACAGGTCAAGAGTTGGATGTCACATGTCAGGGTTAGTTGCCCTGAATGGTTTTTCGGATCCAGTGGCCATATCTGCAGACATCGGTGTAGACCCCTGGCTTCTCCTTGGATCCACAGGGAACATTACCCCATGACACAAGTCCTCGGAGACGGTCTCCACACACCAGCGGACCCCCGGAATCACCCTGTGGGAAACAGGGAGAGAATCAGATACAGAAACACACACAGAGAAAAAGACAGAGTGACAGGGCCACCTAGCCGGCTCAGTTTGTAGAGCATGTGACCTTGATCTTGGGGTTGTAGAGTGTAGAGATTACTTAAAAATAAAATCTTTGAGAAAGCAAGAAACACAGACAGACAGGGAGACAGAAGGACACACAGAGACATGTAGAGAAGGAGAGGGAGAGAAACTCAGAGATGGATAGCCTTGGGGACAGAGAAGCAGATAGACACACACACAGTCACAGACAGGGACATGGAGAGTGTGAGGGAGACTCAGAAATGTGAAGAAACAGAGAGAACATCAAGATCCAGAGAGGTGGGGAGAAAAGAAGAGAAAAAGAACAGAGATTAGGAACAGAGACTGAAAGCTCTGTCTTGGTCACACTGCTTGGTGGGGAGCCTGACTCTCCCTCTCCTTCTGCTGCTCCCACTGCTTGTGCTCTCTCTCTGTCAAATAAATTGATAAAATCTTTAAAAGAAGAAGGAGGAAGAGGAAGAGGAGGAGAAGGAGGGAGAATGAGAGGTATGGAGAGAGGCGGAAGTGCAGAGTGAAGAGGAGACAGAGAGAAATATTTATGTATATTATACATATAATATATATATACATACATACATACAGTAAAATATATTGTGTGCATGGTTTTACATTTCATTACTTATGCATTATTTCTATAAATCTATTCATATAATAGTTATGTTTATATATGCAAATATACATATAAAGAGGCAAGAGTAGACAGAAAGGCATCTAAAGAGAGAACGGCACTCCAGTTACAAGATGGGTAAGTGCCAGGGGTGTAGTGCACAGCATAGTGACTATCGTCAACACCGCTGTGTGATGTCTAGGAAGCTTGTTAAGATAGTGCATCCTAAGAGCTCTCATCACAAGGAAGCAAAATTTTTCTTTTCTATTTCTTTGCTTTGCTTCCCCTTCTTATTGAATCCACAGGGGATGCTGGGTGCTAACTGGTCTGACTATGGTGACCATTCCACACCTACGGAATTACATCCCGCTCTATACCTGAAACTTCTACACTGATGTATGTGTGCTGACTGTATCTCCACAAAACTGGGGAGAGAAAAGACTGCTTCAGAAATGGGACTTGTCTGCTAGTCTTTTCTCTGTGTTCAAGTTGCTCTGTAGCACTGTTCCGAGCTCCATCTTTTTCTCCCTCTTGACTGGTCTCTTCACGTCCCTCAATGGACTGGAGTAAATTTTGGCATAAATAGGAGAGACCCAGTGGATGAAGTGGAAACAAAAAAACACAAGTTAAAGGAGGCATTTGGGAGTGGGGATGGAGCCCTGTGTCTCCCCAGCTGTGGTCCCCCTACCTCCAAAACTTGGTCAGATCTAAACAGGACAGCCCCCTGTTTGAGGAAGGATGGTCCCTTCACACCATCTGCCTCCTTACAGTGTCTCTCTGTTCTTGATCTCTGTATCTCCCTCCTTGTCTCTGCATGTCCTGTCTCTGCTGGCTGTCTTTATATCTCTGCCCATTCCTTGCTGTGTCTCTGAGTGTCCAACTGAGACTCTCTCCCTGGGATTCTCTCCCAGCATGTCTCTGAAAAACTCTGTTTCGGCCTGTGAGTTTCTCTCTCTGCATCTCTGACCTCGGCTATTTAGCTGGAAGGTCCTGGTGGCCTCACCTGGCAGGAATCCTTCCCGTACTTCTCATCCCCGGCACACACCATGTTCTGGGTGATCTGGTTGGGGTAGGCACGCTCACACTCCTCACGGGACACCAGATGGATGTATGCACATTGGATGGTGTTAGGGAAACCACCTACAGAGAGAGGAGGGCCAGGTTCACTTCACAGTCTGTCCTTCCCAGGTCCTCCCCAGCGATCTTCCAACCTCGTTAAGTCCTCTCTCCCCTACTGGTCTCTATTCCCCACTGGTTTCCTTCTTCCTATTTGTCTTTCATTCATAAAAACCCATTTCCATTGGCCCTGGCTCCTGATTGGTCCCTTTTACATTATTCTTTCCTCCCATTGGCCTGCCTTCCTCATTAATTGTCCCTTTTCCAATAGGCCTCATTTCTTATTGGTTTGCCCTTTCTCTTAGGTCCTGCCTCTACTTGTCTTTTTCACTAGTCCCACCTTCTTCAGTAGTCACAGCTCACCTCTAGTCTCTCTTCAATTAGTCCCTCCTCCACCCTTTCATCCTGCCTTGGACCCTTCTTTTCTGTTGGTTCATCCTGATAGGTCAACACTTGACCATTGGTCCTTTTCTAACCAATCGCATTATCCCTCATTGGCCCTCACTTCTTATTGGCCCTTAATCCAGAGGCCCACCCCCCCCCCACTGGTCCTATCCTAAAAGAATCCACCCTCCACTATAAATTCTCCCTTCCTATTGTCCCTTCATCCAATAGTCCATCTTCCTTTTTTGGCCTTTCACTCACGGGCCTACCTTCCGCAGTTCCTGCTGACCTACTGGACTTGTTCCTACCCCTGTCCTTCTTCTACTGACTCCTGTTGATCACTGATCTTTCCTCAGTTGGTTCCTCCCCATTATCTCTCTCCACTCCACTTGTACTCACAATTCGTATCTTTCAGCTGGCTGCCCTGTTTTTATTGATCTCTCTTCTTCCATTAGTCCCTCCTCCATTATCGCTTTTTGGTCATCTGTGCATACTGATTGGTCTGCTTCCATCACTGCCCCCCCCCTTTTTTTTACCTCCTTCTTGATTAGCATCTCCCCACTGACACTCCCTCTTCATTGATCCTTCATCTTACGGCCTATCTCTCCATACCATTCACCTGTGGATCTACTTTCTCCACTGGCTGTTCACTCCTTCGCTTAACTCCCATATTTGCCAACCCTCCTCACTGACACACTGCCCCACTGGCCCTCACCATTAGCCCACCTCCTCCATAGCCTGTCACCCATCGGCCTGCTTCCCCATCACCCTCCCCCTACTGACCGTCTGCTGTCTTGCCCCAGCCTAGGATGTGGCAGCTGGCGTGGTTGGCCGAGCAGTCTTCCTCCAGGGAGAGGGGCTGGATGCGTTCAGAGAATCTGGCCGGTCGAGCGAGGCGCAACAGCATGATGTCCTGGTCATGAGTGGCAGCATTGTAGCCAGGGTGGACCACAGCCCGGACAACAGAGCTCTGCTCTTGGAAACTCTCCCTTTGCTGAAGGTTGTGCTTCCCCAGGTAAACCTGAAGATACCTGGGAAAGAGGAGAGCTGGGTCTTACCTGGAGTCCTTGGGCTGCAGCTGAGACTCCAGAAAGAGCTGTGATGGGAGATGGGGTAGCCTGGTGGTACCATGAGCTATCTGGTCTGTTCCCCTCACAGTCTTCCCAGCTCAGGAAAGGACAACTGCATCCTTGCAGAATAACCTTGGAGACTATTCTTGACTCTCTTTGTTTCAAGCTTCACAGAAGTCTTTCTTGGCTCTCCAAAGTATATCCAGGATGTGATCACTTCTCACCTCCCTCACTGCTACCATTTTGGTCTGGAGCCATCATCTCTTACTGGGACTATGGCAGTAGGCACCCCACCGGGCTCCTTTTTCTGTGTTTTCCCCTCCACAATACAACCAGAGAAATTTTAACAACATAAAATATCCCACCTCCTCCTGTCCCTCCTCGGCTCAGAACACTCCAATGACTCCCATCTCACTCAGAATAAAGGTTGAAGTTTTCACTCTGGCCCACAAGGTCCTGCACATCCTGCCCCCATCACCTCTCAAATATTACCTTCTCCCACTCTCTCCTTCTCTCCTTCTGCTCCAGGCACACTGGCTACCCTGCCTTTCCTTGAAACAACAGTCATCCTCTCATCCCAGGGCCCTTGCCCTGGCTCTTCCCTCTGTCAGCAACTCTTTCATCCCACATATCTCATTACTTCCTCCCCCACCTCCTTCAGATGTCACCTTCTCTGTGAGGCCTTCTCTGATGATCCAATTAAAATGCAAATACCTATCCTAACAGGCAAGTCCTTTCTCCCTGTTTTTTTTTTTTTCATCCAAGAATCTACCATCACATTCAGATATACTATCTATGTATTGTTAAATATTTACTGATTTTATTGTCTCTCTTCCTACCATAACAGCACTGTCCAATAGAACTTCCTCAATCATGCAGCTGTTTGATACGGTGGACACTAGAGACTAGGTTGCAACTTGCCCTTTGGCTCCTGGATTTGTCATCTCATTGTATTTTCCTTAATGTAAATTTAATTGGCCATTTTTGTCTACCATATTAGGTGGCACAGCTCTAGAATATCAAGATGGGATTTTTGTTTTGTTCAGATACAGCATCCTCAGTGTCTCATCTATGTCTGTCATATTTACAATAAACATCCAACAAATATTTGTGAAATGGATCAAAGAGTCAGTCCCTTGCTCAAAATTCTCCTGTGGCTCCCCATTGCCCTTGGAATAAAACTCATTCTACCATCCTCTGTCTCATTGTCAACAGGTAACTTTCTTAGAACACTCTAGACAGTTTCATCCTCAGGGACTTTGTCTTTGCATTTCTTCTGCTGTGAATGTTTGTCCCCCTTCTTCATTTGTCTACCCTTTCTCATTTTCCATGCTTCAGCTTGGACTTCATCTCATCAGAAGGTCCCTCATGACACCCTCGTCCATTCAAAGTAGGTATCTCTGTTCTTTTCTCTCAGGGAGCCATCCCTGTTCTTTTCCTTCACTGGACTTGGGGTAATTTGTAATTATATGATTTTTCGAGGGCTTGTTTGTTAAATAATTATCATTCTGTGCTTTTCTGTTTCTGTGCTCCTCAGGGCAGAGGCTCTGTGTATTTCTCTCACCTACTACTGAATCCCCACTGCCCACCTCAAATCAGGCACTTAGCAGATGCTTTGATCAATGTGCACCAGATGGATGACTGAGAGAATGTCGGGAGTGATGTCAAGTGTGGGGGAAACCATCCTGGGGTCCTTGAGTCCATACTCTTGCATGATTAACCCCTCCTCCCACAGTAGGAAGTGGTACCTGTTGGTTTCCAAACACTTCAGTTGCCACTTACTACTTCCCTGAGCCTCAGTATCCTCATCTGCAAAATGGGACCAGGAGTCCCTTGTTGTGAAGTTTCCAGGAAATGTATATTAACTGCTTAACTCAGCACCTGGCTGGTAGTTAGCACTGAACAAAATGGTAACTGTTAACCTAACTAGTGATCATTAGTTCTCTGAGGATTAGTGCTGGTCCCTCTATGCTTTTCAACCTATGCTTGCTTTTTGGATGATCTCATCCCATCCTGTGTTTAAATACCACTTATTTGTGGATGACCCCTTAATGTTTCCCTCCAGGTCTGACTTCTCCTCTGAGCACCAGGAGCCTACCCTCATGCTTCACTGACATCTCCCTGGTGCTAGAACAAAATGTCTGACCGTCCTCTGCCCATGTCCAAACTGGTTCTATTTCCCTTTCCTTTGGCTCAGAAAGACACAACAGAACATTCACTTGTTTGAGTCAAATACCTGGAGGTCAGCTCTGCTTCTTCCATCCCACATCACTGAGTCCCTCTGGTCTCAAAATATCTCCCAAGGTTTTTAACTATACTCCATCTCCTGGTCCAAACCATCATCCTAGGTCATTCTATGTGCATCCCTTCCTTCATCTCCCCTTGCCCAGCCCACTTTCCACATGGTGGTCAGGATGCTCTTAAAGACTGGGTGGCTCAGTCATTAAGCATCTGCCTTCAGCTCAGGCCATGATCCCAGGGTCTTGGGATCGAGTCCCACATCAGGTTCCATGCTCAATGAGAAGCCTGCTTCTCTCTCTGCCTGCCACTCCCCCTGCTTGTGTTCTGTTTCTGTCTCTGTCTCTGTCTTTCTCTCTCTCTCTCTCTCTCTCTCTCTCTCTCTGACAAATAAATAAATAAATAAATAAAATCTTTTTAAAAATGTAAGTCAGTTCCTGCTGCTTCCCTGACTGAAATTTTCCACTGGCTCCCTACCTCACTTAAATTGAAATCCATCACTCCATCGCTGTCTACAGGGTCCTGCCCCATCTGATTCCCCAGTTACAAGGTCAGTCCATAAAAGCAGAAATTGTGCTTGTTTTCTTCCCTGCTGTATCCGCAGGGTCCCAAACAGGGCCTGCAGATAGGTAATGCTCAGTTAAGTACTGGCCAGGTGAACCTCGTTACAGATGGCCTTGGGTTGGGACAGGGGGATGTAGGTGTCTCTTCATGCCTGAAATCTGTAAGACAACCCCAGGGTCTCATTGCAATCATGCCTCATTCATGGAGTGGAGACTCACGGTTTTTTGCAGTGGGCAGCGGTGAGGACCCATAGCGGGTGAATGAGGACCCCTCCGCAGAGTAAGTGGCCTGACATGTAGAGGGCAGCTTGGTAGGGGTGAGACGTCTGCTCACAGGGTCCACCATGCAACACCTTATTCTGCTCCTCGGCCCAGGCTGAGAGAGGAAGGGTCTGAGTCAGGGAGGAGGTCTGGAGACACCAGGCGAATCCCCCCAGGTGAACCCCAATGCCATCCCAGTGTTCCAGGTCATCTCCACCCCACCCCATCCTCAAATTCTTCCCCACCTTCTTGACTCCTTCCCACCTCCTTTCTGTTTGCATCCCCATCCCTAAACTAGGCCCCTGCTTCCTCCTCACTCCAAGCCCACCCTGCCTCCATACCCGTGTGAATCCCTACCCCAAGGTCCAAACTTTCCCATCAGCAGCCCCTACCCGCCCCCCACCCAACCACCCCATCCCATCCCATCCCCTGTCTTCCCACCTGCAGCCATCAAGACCAGTGCCACAATCAGCGTCTTCATGCCCATTCCTGAGAAGGGAAACCAAATGCTCCTCAGTCCCCCTCACAAGTCCCCACCTCCTTCATTCCCCCCCCCTCACCTGCATGCTTTCCTGATCCTTGACCTCCAACCTTCCCCTGGCCTCCTGTCACTCTAACCACATCTTCCATTCTGGGGTCCCATGAAGGCAGGTTGAATAAGAACCCAGAACCACTCGTGGTACTCTGTGGCTCACATTATGCATCTCTTACTTCTCTGAGCTCCAACATGCCCGCCTGCCAACAAGAGGGGATGGCCCAGGAAGAGTCCTGACCTTCTACTCTCCCCATGGGATTTTTCTTCTGTGCTCACTGTGTTGCTCTCCCCACATCTGGAGGTTCTGGGGTGCAGCATGATCTTACCTGCTGGGGGCCAGCTACCTGAGGGTCCAGAGGACTCCTGGCCGAGGGGCTCTTGGGTTGGGATAGGGATAGCACGTGTCACAGGCAGAGAGACAGAGGAGCAAAGAGAATCAGAAAGGCAGGGAGTTATGGGGAGAGACCAGACACTGAAAGCAGAGAGGATGCCCAGGAGCCAGAGCCACAGAGATAGACAGCAGAAGATGTATGGGCTGTGGGGCCCAGGCAGATACCTGGGCTTCCTGGCCTCCCTGGAAGAGGCTCTTCCCCGTCCACAGACACTCCTGGTTCTTCCTTTTAACCCCTATCTCCCCAGGTCCCTGAGGCAGGAGGCCGCCCCACCCTTTCCTCCTCACCCAGACCTCCCACACACATTCCTTACTTCCCCATCTCCCCATGGTTCTACTCTTGGTGACCCCTGACTGGGCTTCCAGGAAGGGGAGCACTAGTCCCTGAGTGCACTGGGGACCTGGACTCCTGGGACTGAGGGGGGAGAGGCTAGGGGTCCAGACTCCAGGGTTTGAAGGAGGAGTCTAGAATTCTAGATCTTCAGGAGAAGGACCTGGGACCTGCACTTTTGAGTCTAAAGGAGAAAAGATGGGCACTTGTTCTCAGTCCCTAGACTTCTACGTCCTTGAGCAAGGTATCTGAAGACCAACACCCAGGCAAGTGACCAGTGCCCTCTGGCATGCAGGAATCCCCCCACCTCTGTCTGTGAGCCCTTTAGGCCTGCAGACCCTCACTCCTGGGTCTGCTGCCTTCAGACACTGAAAACCAGGCAGCATGGGTCAGTGGGGTTGGGGTGATTCACGCACCTGCCTGTAAGTCCCTCTGTGGTTGCTGACGACCTCCGTGTCCCCACTGTAGACAGCAAGCCAGTGAGAAAGCATGTGTCACCAAGCTGGCTCCCGCCCCTGCCCTGGGCTGGGGCGCAGGCCCAGCGCTATGGGGAAAGGGGCCTCAGACAATCGGGCTTTGTCCGCCCCCAGGACCCAGTGCCATGCTCCCAGCAGCTCCGTTTCTCAACCTCTCTTCCGGGCAGGCAGGCGGCTGTGTCAATAGCTTCCCTTTGTCCCTGTCTGACAGTCCTGTTGCTGTCCTTTCATTGTCCACCCACTTCTGCCAGATATCAGGACATTTGACCCTCCTGGTCCCCCTGCTCCAAGCCTGCCCACCTGTGAGGTCTCACTGTCCACCTCTCTCCCTGGCCATGGTGGAGCTGTCTCCACGTCTCCTCCCACCGTCCCTCATGTTTTCCTGTGTTCATCTCAGGCTCTACTTGTGTCTCTGTCCCTCTTTCCCCATCTTTTTCTCTGTATCTCTCTCTGCTTTTCTCCCAGTTCTCTGAGTCTCTTGACATTCTCTACATTTTGGTTTGTTTATCCTCCCCTGGCTTCCCCTGCATTTCCAGCAGAAGGCTGTGCCTCTGCCCAGAAGCAAGTTAGTTCCCTAGGGAGCCAGAGGGTTGATATCAGGAGCAGTGGGGAAGCCAGTGGGACACAGGAGGGTTTCCAATGAGATTCAACACCTAGGGAGAGGCTTGGAAGTAAGCAGGAATACAAGAACACTTGAGAGGGATGTGGGAGTGTGAGATGGCGGCCCCAACAGCTGTGGAGGGACCCAGGAGGATTTGAGGAGGTGCCTGTGAAGTTGGACCTTGAAAGCTGTGCCCAGTGTTGGGTGTTGGTCAGGAGAAGTGGGGCAAGAAAGCCTGGCATGTGGCAGCCGTGGGGAGGGAAAGGAGGATGGATGTGATGAGCATGGGGCATGAGGAGGAAAATGTGAGGAAGTCACTGGAGATAAGGACAACTGATATCAGTAATGTCCATCTCAGCACCAGCTCGGGCCTGGCACTGGGGGATGAAAATCAATGTTTGGCATTCGACATACTCTCTGGTTGTTCCTCTGTCCCCAACTTCCCCCAGGCCCTTCATACCCACGTTCCCATTGAACTGGGCATCTTCTCAGAACCCACCATTCTCCTGGACACCTAGCTGGATTCCTTACAGCCTGGCCCACCCCTTCCTCTCCATTGCCATGACCCTAGCACCAGCCCAGACCTGCTCCTCTCCCACCTGCACCATCACCTTGGGCTCTTCCCCTTTCTCTGTATCCTTCACTTGACCCCAGAACGCCCTTCCTGCACCCAGAGCTGACCGTGCCCCTCTCCTGCTCATAACACTGCCCTGGCTCCCCCATCACCCCTGGGACAAAGTCCCATCCCCTCAGCTGGCTGTTGGAAGACCTTCAGCATCCACAACGTAGAAATATATTGCCAAATACAAATGCATTTTTAAATTTTCTAGTAGCCACTTCTTTAAATAGTAAAAGGATGGGATGCCTGGGTGGCTCAGTTGGTTAAGCGTCTAACTCTTGATCTCACGACTCTTGATCTCAGGGTCGTGAGTTCAAACCCCATGTTGAGCTCCATGCTGAGCATGGAGCCTATTTAAAACATAATAAGAAGAAAATAGTAAAAACAGAGACAGAAGTTCATCTTGGTATTTCATCCAGTCCAATACATCCAAAATTGCAATGTGAAATCAAAATAAGAACATATTAAAGATAGTTTGTCTTCTTATTTTGTGTGCAGTAAATGTTTGGAATCTGATATGCCTTCCCCTCACAGCATGTGTCAGTTGGAACTTGCCACATTCCACAAGTTAGAGCCACCAAGGCGAGCCGCTGCCGCAGTGCACAGCCCAGCTCTGCCCACGGGTCTCGTGTTCCAGCTGGGAAGATTGCTTTCTCACCTCTGGGCCTCATCCATGCTATTCCCCCTCTCCAAATGCACTTCTCACCTTCTCCTGACCACAACTTGTCCTTCAAGTCTTTGCTTAGACATCATCTCCTTCTGGAAACCTTCCCTTGAACACCACCCAACTCCCATCCCCTGCAGTTGGGTTAGTCACTCTCTCACCCAAGTTCCCACAGCAGGTGCAACCCTCAAGTCACCCTGGACCGTGAGCATGTGGATTCATATCTATCTCTCCCACTGGGTGGTGAGCTCCTTGAGGACAGGCACTGACTCACACCCCTGTGTCCCAGGTGACCTCACGGGACCTGGCCCAGAGGAAGCCTTAGGAAATGTTGGCCAAATGACTAAAATGTCTTCATTACACCCACTCCCATTTTACAAAAAAAGAACACTGAGATTCAGAGAAGGAAGTTAATTGCTCAATGTCCAACACCCAGGAAATGGTGGGACCTTTTGGATTGGAACTCTACTTTCAACGTGGAGATGGACATGGCCCATCTTTTGGCACTGCAGCTGGGTGTCCCTTAGCACAATAGGGGATGGGAGGGTTTGGGAGGAGTTGTTGAGAGCCTCATGGGAAAGGAGGGAGGTGACAGATGGCAAGGAACTCCAACTCTAAGAACCTCTTAAGAGAGAATAAAGTGCCCAACTGCAGGCTTTTGTCAGTGACCTTTAGGGTTTTTCTCCTGCCATGTACCACACATTATTATTTATAGAGATTTTCCCCCAAACTGACATACTCCACAAAAGATTTCAATAAAGAAAATGTGTTATAAGAAAACTTTATGAGAGTATAAGTAGGAAATAGTGCTGGAAATCACAGACAATAAGAACCAATATTCACTGAAAGCTTATTCTATGTCAGGGAATGTTCTAGCACTCTCTGAATATTAAATTTATTTAACCTTCATAACAGACCTGAGAAATAGGTGTTACTTCTCTCACTTCAAGGACAAAGGAAGGGGAATGGGGAAGTAATGTGCAAGTAGCTGATAGGTACCCAAAGTGGGGCTGGACTCCAAGAAGCCTAGTTCTGGAGTCAGTGTCTTTGACTACTATGTTGTACTGTCTGCCCAAAAAGAAAGGAAGTTATTTTTAAAAATCCAACAGAAGTGCTATCCCAAGTCATTGCAAACCAACCCACCTCCAGACTTGTATGCAGTAGCAGCCAAGAGGAAGGGCCAGGTGTCTCCAGGCTGATTTAGTACAATTGCATTGTACTAAAAGTAATTTGATTACATTTTCAAACTTTAGATGAATATTGATTTGAGGTTGTTTGCTGGGGGAAGGGGAAGTTGATGGATCTTCACGGGGATGGGTGGCTAAAAACCCTTGACATTCCTTGACACTGATCTAGAGGCAAGAAGAGTCAAGGGTCTGGACACCTGAGTCTGAGCGGGGAGGTGCTGGAGGCAAGAACATTAGGTATAAGGGAGGAGGGGCTAGAGGTGCAGATTCCTATGTTTTGTGCCGGGAAGGGGCTTAGCCTCCTGTGTGCAGGGAGTTCGTGGCTGCAGGATTTCTGCAATATGTGGAGGGATGGAGGAGTGGAGGGCCAGGAGAGACTTCTTAGGGAGATGAGATGACGAGAGGAAGGATCTGGAGGACACTGGCTGAAAATTCTGAGGGAGAAACTGGAAAGACAGGCAGGAGGGTGAGCCCTGGGCTAGAGAGGATCCCTCTGTCAGCAGCGTCTGAGGTGTGACCGCCCAGGGAGCCTTTGATGGCAGGAAGCCAAGGACGTGGCCAGGCTCTGAGTCACAGGGGACTCCACCTTCCTCCCTTCCAGAAGTCCCCTTCCCTGCCTTGAGAATAGGAGCCCACCGACCCAGATTTCCACCCCCATCTTCCCCTGGCACCCAGGATGCTGTTTTCTCACTCTGAGTGGGCTCCTGTGGGACCCTGGTGTCCCATCCACCTGCCAGTCCTATCCTTCCTGAAAATATCCCTCTCTCCTGGTTTGCCACTTGTGAAAATCTCAGGAACACTTTCGTATCCCTTTCCACCCCAATGAAACAGACTTATTTTCTCCTCCCTCCACCCTTCCTTCTTCCCTTTTGACCTGCTCTTCCACTCTCCAACATCTTTACAGATGAAGAAAACTAAAATCTGGGAAATGGATAGAAACAGGTCCCTAAGCAGGAGATTCCTCCCCCCAGCCTTAGATCTTCAGAGATTTTCCACTTTTGTTTTCAAGTTACAAAAGTGAACATCTACAGAAACACAAGTGAAAGGAAGGAGGCACCCCCAACTACCACCAAGTGCAATTCATATGTGTTAGTATTTCAGATTTTATTCTGTAAACATTTTATTTTACACAGCTAGAGTCACACACACATTTGTATCTTTCTTTTTTCATGTTCCATGATATGACAAACATTCTTGCATAACACTAGCAATTCTGCAAAGTTATTATCCTTAACAGCTTCCTAATATCCCTGTCCCAAACAGGCTTATTGTTTACATAAACAATCCACTAATCTGGGACATGTTCCATGTTGCCACTGTTTTGCTATGATAAATAATGTGATGAATTCAAAACTTTCTCTACACTTTGGATTTTTTTTTCTCTTTTTTTGAGTAGTATCTTCCTCAACTAGAGTCACAGGATCAACAAGGGTCTCAATCCACCTTGCCAAACGGCCTTCCACAAAAATGGCATGATTTACAGTTCCATCAGCTGAGAGTGCTGGTTTCACTGAATCTCTACCAGCACTGAGGTTTTTGTGTTTCATGCTGGTTTTAGGTCTTTGCTAACTTGATTGGTTTACACATGTGGCATATTGCTGAGGCGTAAATTTGTCTTTGAGGAAAGGTAAAGTCAAATAAGACTACAGTTCATCACGTCCTTATTTCTGTGAATTTCTTATTGAGGGTGTATGGATGGAGAGGTGGGAGGCATGCAGAGATCAGCGATGTTTTCTCATGGTCTCATTTATCCATTTGACATACTTGCAGACTTGGGTATAGACACCTGGGTCATTGGGTTGGCCACAAGGGAAAGTTCCCCAGGACACCAGGCCTTGCAGGGTACCTTTGCACATCAGTGGTCCCCCTGAGTCACCCTGGAGAAAAAAGAGCAAATTAGTTTTGGTTTCAGAGCAAGCACCACTGATAGACCTGTCTACTGTCTTCAGTT